GGCGACGCTCCAGGGTGACTTCCCGGGGACCTCTTCCTCGGGACCCCATGGGACGCTAGTTTAGAATGCCGGTTCCTGGGCGCCGCCCATCGCCCCGCACCTGCAGCTCCGAGGCCAGGAGCCTGCCTCTCCAGGAGCCCCCCACCTCCGTGTTCCCAAGTCCACTAAAGTTTGAGGAGCGCCGATTTCCCCGGCAGGTGGTCCTCAGCAGATGGCTTTGCCCCCTCCCGGGAGGAGCACCGGTCTTCCCCCCACCCCTAGGCGCACCCGGAGGTTTTCTGGAGTGTGTCTCAGGGTTGCTGCTGGGGTGGGGGAGGGTGTCAGGAGAAGGGGTGCCCAGGCACCTTCTGGGGGGGCGCGGCAGGTGAGGGAGGGAGGTCAGAGTAAGGCCCTTTACCTGGTTTCGGGGGATCGGCCCTGGACGGGGGGGGGGGCACACTGGGGGAGCTGAGCTTCATCCCGTTCCCTAGGCCACCCCTGGGGCCTGTGTGGAGAGCAGGTTTGGCCTTGTTTTCCTGGCCTGGGAACAGGAGGTTCAGGGAGCAGCAGAGCACCGCCTATTGTGGTTTGAGGTGCACAGAGGTCCGCCTTTCATCTGAGACCTTTGAATTCCCAAGACCGTCAGTGTGGTTTAGGGATTTGAGAGGGAACAGGCCTCCTGTGAATTACCTGTCTTGGGGAATTAATTTTCTTTTTTTAAATGCCACCTCTTCCTTTTCCCGGTGTGTTCTGAGGCTTCCATTCCGGTGGCTTGTCTCCATTGGGTTATAAATAGCTTCAGCATATCAGGTGAGGCCAGGCATTCTCCTCCGGCTTCGGGGACTTCGTGTGCACAGACCCTTTTGTTTTTAAGGCAACGCTTTGTTCCAGTTCTGGGGCTGAGACAAGCTCCTGGGACAGGTATACACATCTGTCAGGTTCTTGTTCAAGATTGCCAAATAAGAGCCATCCATAACAGTAATTCTACTTTACCTTAGCAGAATGCTCACAAAGCACTTGGACGGAATTCCTGTTTTATTTACTCTTCCACTGCAGTCCTATAGCATCTTATCCCCACTTCCCAGATAAGGGAAGTTGAAGCTCAGAGAGGAAGGGGGATGCTTCTTCAAGGTCACATAGCTAGGCCTTATAACTCTCAGTCTGGTGCTTTTTACTGTATCACTAGCAACCACTAATGCCAATCCCTGTGACCTGAGTGATGGGCATAATTTTTTTTAAGTATATTTTGATATTTTACAGAGAGGAAGGGAGAGGGATAGAGAGTTAGAAACATTGATCAGCTGCCTCCTGCACACCCCCTACTGGGGTTGTGCCCACAACCAAGTACATGCCCTTGACAGGAATCAAACCCGGGACCCTCCAGTCCGCAGGCCGACACTCTCTCCACCAAACCAAACAGGTTAGGGTGGGCCTAATTCTTTATCATCTCTTCCAATTAAAATTCCATTTTCTAAAAATATTGATTTAAAATATCCTTAATTGTTTAGGCCAGGCAAAACCTGGAACTTACTGTTATTTGTCCTTCAGTGTGGCTGTTTTTCTATCTTCTTCCTTCTCCTGTCTCCTTTGATCCCCATGACCCTACCCAATATGGATCTGAACAGAATGTAGGTCAGGATCTCCGGGAGCAGAACAGCGAGGCCATCTGGCCCACCCAGCCCACCAAAACTTGGCTTTCTTACTTTCCATTTGTTTTTTAACCAAAGCCTGGTACAGAAAACAGTTGCAAGAATTCAGGTTAATTTGTCTTAGAAGCCATTACCAAATTCTGCTTGTCAAAACCTCCACCTTCTTAACCCACTGGTGTGTCCATTTTTATTGGACCAATAGGCTTCTTTTTGGCCAGCTAAGGTCTGGGAGTCCATGCATGACTGGTTATTTCCACCATAATTATATTTGATTTCTCTTATTAACTTCAGAATCCAGAGTTCAAAGTTGTCTGCCTCAATTTGAAAACCCAGTATGAACTTGTCATGATTTTATCTCCCACTTCCCCAATTATCCTCCCTGTCACTTTGATTTCCTTTCAACCGTGTCACATTTCTCTCTTGTCTTTTTTTTCCTAATTTGCTCTTTCTTTAATATCCACACAGGTAACTTTTTGACTGAGACAATTGAGGTGAGATCCAGTCCCTGCTAATTTATTAGTTTTGCTTTGAATGGGAGCAAGCTTTCTTCTTCAGTTCTCCCTCCTCCTTCCCAGAAAACTTACCTTCAGTCTTCTCTGCTTATTCAGGAATAAACTTCTCTTGAAATTGTTGCTCTGAAAAGGTCCTGAAAAGACAGCTCCAGCATTCTTCATTCAGTATGCAAATTTTCCCATAGCCCATTTCAGGTTGGCCCTGAAATGTAGAAATGAATCAGACACAGAATCAATGAGTTCACAGTAGTAATGAATACCTGCCATTTGCCAAGAACTGTATAAGACACTTGCATATGTTCTCTCTAGTCTACACTCCAAAGCTTTATTTTTATATACAATGGATGACAGTGGGTTGGGAGAGGTTAAATACAAAGCTAAGTTAACACACCACAGCAACTGGTTGGCAGAACTGGTATTCGAGCCCTGGGCTGCGTTGCTGTGGAGAAGCATATCTGGTAGAGACAGGACAGGAGAAAACACAAGTTCTTGGCCTGAGGAATCACCCTTTCCTACCACAGGGATAAGATATCAGGAAGACTCAGAAATTCCATTTCCTCCCTGTAGCCTCTCTTTTCCAAATGCTAATCCCACAGCCCATTCTGAACCACATTAAGCCTTAGAACTTGTGACGAGTGTTCTGGAATGCCCAAGCATGGATAAGGACATGCTGCCATCTCTAAAGGAGACCAGTGGGCCTGGGTCAAGCATCAGGTTATAATGAGAACACAGTGGGCTCTTGAAATGCATGGGAAGGATCAGGACGCGAGAGCTGGGCCAGCCCTGTGAGGCCCACTGCTCCCCTCTTGGGGTTGAATTACCCTCTTGTGTGGTGTCTCATCACAGATTTTGTGTCTGCAGATAAGGAAAAGGGGAAGGAAAAGCTGGAGGAAGACGAGGCCGCAGCAGCCAGCACCATGGCCGTTTCAGCTTCTCTCATGCCACCTATCTGGGACAAGACCATCCCATATGATGGCGAGTCCTTTCATCTGGAGTACATGGACCTGGACGAGTTCCTGCTGGAGAATGGCATCCCTGCCAGCCCCACCCACCTGGCCCAGAACCTGCTGCTGCCTGTGGCCGAGCTAGAAGGAAAGGAATCGGCCAGCTCTTCCACAGCATCTCCACCATCCTCTTCCAACGCCATCTTTCAGCCCTCTGAAACTGTGTCCAGCACAGGTTGGTGACGAGCCTTTGGGCATGGCCACCTGTCCTATCTAAGGAAGTCCATTTCCCACTGAAGGCTTCTTGTGTCTACACACGCAGTGAGCCCCTTCTCTCAGGGAGGCTCTGGTGGGCCTGCAGTGTGGAGAAACCCTTTGCTCCCCACCCTTAAGCATGGTCCCCAAGACTAAGGAAAAAATAGCAGTCACATCGGTTTTGTCGGAGCCTTTCTGTTGGTCGGTGTGCTGCAAATTGTCAGGACAGTGGAGCAAGATCTTCCAGTTTGAGGTTCTGCAGGGTAGAAATCCCATTCTGCATTTTATCAGCACAGCTCTTTACGCCCCCACCCTCCACTCATGCGCTTTGCCACAGATTATTGGGAAGCTTGGGTAATAATAATAATAATAATACCAGCTAACATTTATTTAGCACTTACTCTGTGCCAGGCATTAATATGTAATCCTCAAAACAACCTTATAAATTGGTAGTATTATCTGTGTGTTATAGGTGAGAAACTGAGAAGTTAAGTAACTTGCCCAAGGTCACACAGCTGGTAGGTAGTAGAGGCAGCACTTGAACCCAGGATGTCTGACTCCATAGCCAAGTACTGCTTAGGAACAGGCACAAAGAAGGCATCATCTTCAGGATTTCTCCTTAGTCCTCTTGTCCTTTTTCTGTTTTACCTCTGGGGGTTGGTTAATTGGTTATTTGGTTTTCATGCCACTTGGACATGAACCCTCCAGAGGACCAATGACCCCTGTTTCAGGAGTCTCTGCAAAGCTTTCTTTAGGCTCAGTTAGAGGCATGCAGGCTGATGGCTTCTGGAAGGACCCCAGGCTCTGGTGTGGAACCCAGGGAACCCACACCCAAAGAATTCTCAAGCTCTGTTTTTTAAATTTTTTTATTTTAATCATCACTGAGGATATGTTTTTATTGATTTTTTAGAGAAAGAGGAGGTGGGGGGGTGGAGAGAAATATTGATGTCAGAGAGAAACATTGATTGGTTGCCTTCCGTACACGCCCTGATCAGGAATTGAACCTGAAACCTTTTGGTGTACAGGACAACGCTCCAGCCAACTGAGTAGTGTTCATGCTCTGTTTTGTTTTGTTTTAATTTTACTTTTTATTATGGATAAATTTTCAAATACAAAAATTAAAAACTAAAGAACATCCATGTAACCATTCAGCTTCCATAATTCTTAATTTATAACCTATCTTGTTTTCTGTAACCTCTTCCATTCCCCTCACTTAATTATTTACAGTCAAATCCCACATATTATTTCAGCCATAAATATTTCAGTAAGTATATAAAATACAAAGGTTCTTTTTAAAAAGTAACAAAAACACCAATTTTACATCTGCATTGGACAATAAACTTATCAGCATTCAAATTTTGAAAAAGTTGTCTCATAAATGCTATTGTTTTGCGGTTTTTTTGAATCAGGATCCAAACAAGACCCACACATTCCATTTAGTTATGCCTCTTAAATCTCTAGTAATTTATAGGGTCCCTCTCTCTCCT